GACAGGACTGTGTAACCCCCAGCAGGCACCTCATGGGCCATGTCTGAGGAATGGCTGGATGGGTCACCCAGGGACAGAATACCCAGAGTGCAGCGGCACATCCCAACCATCCACTTTATTGCAATACCCTGTTTTAAGTCAGACAGAAGTGGATTTGACTCCCAGTGGGCTGTGGCCTGTTTTAGTCTAGCAAACTAAACTGGAAAAAGTGTCCTTTCAGAGTAAGCATGTCCTACTCTGAAGCAGCCATAGCATTTAAAATCATAAAATATGAATTTTAAACCGTAATACATGAGTTCTGTTTTTTCAGGCAGGCAAGTCCTTACACATAGAGCTACTTTCTACACAGATATACTTGGTGAGGTAAAAACCTTCAAACCAAATCAACAAAAAGGCTGTTTCAAACTGGGCCAAGACCCTGTGAAATCTGCACCTCCAGGTAGAACTTTCATTAAAAAGTATCTTAATTGCTGCATTTACTACAGTTTTTCTTGCCTTGCCCCTAATGAAACGCTGATCTGCTTGCCCTGATACTCTGCGCCAGGGATAATTAACACTGCTCTACTAACTACTTGCTAAAGGAAGGTCATTAGTATTCTTGCTGCTTAAATAGCTCATTAGGTTTATCAGCCTGCTCAGAGGAAAGCTGGGGAAGAGAGAAAAGTGAAGGGTGCCAAGGCTCCCACAGCCCAGCTGGCAGGGAGTGGCTGGAGGTGGTGTCCCTCCAGTAAAACTGAGACAGCCCAGGTGGGCAGGAAAGATGGGAACCACCATCAGAGGAGTTCAGGGAGTAGGTTTTAGCCCATCAAAAGGTGCTGGTGGAGGAGAGCTATCTCTGTCACTTCAGAACATCCTCCTCACAGGCTGATGTTATCAGGTGGCAAGGAGATACAGATCTCCAGGTGACAAGGAGATAGAGATTTCATCCTCAGACCTTCTGAACCGCTGCACAGAGAAGATGAGAGGGAGTTTAAGCAAACAGGAGAGCAGCCAGCAGCAGGGCAGTGAGGACAGTGTGTGCCCACACAGCACCTGCCTGGCACACAGGGACAGCACTGCCTGCACCAGGTCCTGTGGGCATCACAGGCAGAGGCAAGGCAAGGGTGGAAAAGCAAAGTGCTCAGCAAATGACAAACCTGGAGGAAGGAAAGAAAAAGTCCCAAGTCACAGCCTTGAAATAAACCCCTCCTTCTACCTGTATTCAGCTTTCCAGAAGCAGGAGAGCAGTCAGGAAGTGGAGGGGGACACAAGAAGGATGATGTAAACCCTGAGCAGGGAAAACAGGTTCATGCCTGTGCACAGATGGACACAGGAGCAAGGACTGACAGTTGTTTTATTTTAAAGGGTAACCAAGATCAAACCAGAATTAGTGATACAAAGAGCTGGAGCTGTGATGCAGCCTGAGAAGAGTTAACTGTTTCACATGCTGCTGCCACTGCCCTCCACTTGCTCTTCTGAGTCTGAAATGGTGTCTGGGCAGCAGTTGAAGACCTTTATCTGATAGTCAACATTAATGGTGGGATTTGGGGCATTTCTCTTCACACTTCTGTGCTCCAGCAATCGTGTCGGCATAGTGGGAGTGGTCAAAGACAAAAGTACTACACATATTTGGGTGTAATGCACTGAGCAGGTGAGATTTCTCACCTACTGCCTCAGCAATAAAGCTTGAAGTAACTCTGGAGGTGTTAAAAAGGAGTTATTTAAACTACAGGTTGGTTATCACAAGGATCCTGAAAAAAGTTACAGCTCTCTAGGAATAAAAGCTGTCTCATCCACTGAACTTCTGCAGCAATGCCTTCTTGGCATTCTTATTTGGAAATGAACAGGCAGTGCTGATTTACAGTAAATGATCTCAGAGCTTGCCATGTAGTAAAGCTTTATGCAAATTACAGCTGCCACCCTAAAGCTGCATTTGCATAACTCCTTTGTAAGTCAATCTTAAGCCTTTTTACCATAATAAAAGTTATCAATATTTAAAGAGACATGAAAAATAGCCACACATATGTGCTCCCTGCCACTTAGCTTTTAAGCACTAATGTGTATTTGCAGCTCTGGGTGGTTAAAGGAGATTCAGTGCTCCTGATTTGAAATGGGATGAAGTTATAGAATGTCACCTTGAGCTCTCAGGACACACCACAGAGCACAGCAGCAACTGCACACCTGAGGCTGTGGCTGACCAGCACCTTCTGTGTTCCACAAGGGGATTTTAAGATCAATATACATTTATTGGTATCCAGCAGAGATAACTGCCTGCCACAGCTCGGTCCTACAAGGACAAGGGTCTCCAGTTCTTTATTAAGAGCATTGTTAGAGGGAATCTCACTATAAACTCACCTAAACCATGTAGGATTCCAGCCAAGTTTGATCAAAGCACTGATCATTTAGTGAGGGAACTTCAGGGGAATTCTGTAAGCAGTTTGAAGGCACAGCAGAGCTCCAGGATCCCAGGTGAACCCAAGTGATCAGGAGGCTGAGTTTCACCCATTCTGAGCTTGCCTGTTATTGCAGCTCACAGAATCATTAAGGTTGGAAAAGATCTCTGAGATGATGAAGTCCAACCTGTGACTGAATATCAGCTTGTAAACCAGACCAGAGCACCGAGTGCCACATCCAATCCTTCCTTGGACAGCCCCAGGGCCTTCTGCTGCTCTCCTTCAAAACCTTCCCCCGGCTCTTGGTCTGCTTTGTGAAGAGTCTGGAGTCACAGCAGTGGGAGCTGAGGATTCCCAGAAGGACTGTGAGAAATCAGGTTCCCAAATTTCCCTTAAATCCAGCAGGAATAGGTTACTCAGCCCTCACAGACTGCCTTGAAAATCCTGGTCAGAATCTGAGCCCCTTCTGCAGCCTGCCCAGTGGGGTTTCAGTGCTGCATGGGGTTTCTCCATCCTGCACCACAGCTGGACAGTTCCTGTGGTTTTTAATGCCCAGGTTCAGTGCTTGCTTTAGCTCTGGTGCAGAAGTTGGCTGTCCTTTCACTTTAAATAGTATTTGCTTGCCTGTGTTATGTGGAGCTGTAGCTGACCTTTCAGTCCTGGTAGCAGAGGGAGGATGAATCAGGCCAGCCAGAAAAGAGGCTGCACAAAGGGATGCTGGCTCCTTTCGTGGCAGGAGTGCCCCACTCCTCTTCTGCACAGAGCCTTGGACCTGCATCACCTCCTCCCACATCACAACTGCCCAACAATTACAGCATTAGAAAAGGAGAATTCAAAATAATAATGAATATTTTCCCAGTCTAAAGAAAGCCTAATGCAGCTATTAAATTTGGGCTATACATATTTCAGCCAAGAATCCTTAAGTAACTTACAACTTGCTTGATCTCTGAATACCAGCAGGGCAAGGCACATTATTTCCACAACCAAAGACCTTTTATTTTTAATCTATGACATTGAAGAGCCCCAGGCAACTTTCAAGAATAATTGCAATCATTCAGGGCCCTAGGTATTCCTCCTGGACATCCCTCTTCTGTAAGGAAAAGGATGAACATGCAGCAGTCACCTGAGGCAGCCTGGCCTGCCCCAGCCCTGCCTGGCTCCTTCTCCTCTCCCACATGCCCCACATCACCTGCCCTGCATGAAGCAGCCTCTCCTGCCATTCCTTTGTTCTTGCCACCTTCAAATAACTTCTAAAATAAGATTGCTTCTCCCCAGGTACCCAGAACATCGAAGTAAATAAAGAGTTAAGCTAAATTGTGCATTTTTATTCTCTTGAGGCATTTCTCATTCCTCTGGTCTTCTCAGTCTTATCTCTATCTGCCTTCTCCTGTGTGCTTCAGAGGGCTACAGAGCAGCCATAGCATTGCCACTCAAAAGTAAACACTGATGTATATTTGAACAGATATACTCACAAAATTAAATATATATAAATAAATATGTGTAGCTACACACAGGTGTCTACAGGATGAATAGATGAGCAATGATGGCTGTCAAATATATAAAAGTCTCACATGCTTAAAAAAGCACCCAGCAGCTGTGTCTGAGCTGGAGGAGCACATCAAAGTCCTGTCTCTCAGCTGATGGGACCAGTGAAGATCCCAGTTACATCCCTGGGAAGCAGCACTTTCAATACATCAGGGTCACTTATGGATTTCTGTGGAAGCTCCTATATTTTATAAATGAGGATCTGTGATCTCTGAAACTCCATGCATCAAACTCCACTGAAGGAAAAAGACATTTCCCCAGTATATCCAGATTTCTTTTCCTTATTATATTTCCTAGGCCTTTTATTTTCAACTGTGAATGTTCCCTGACTGCCAGATTTTGGAGCTGGGTCTCTTCTTCTGTTCTACAGTAGGATAATGGTGGCATAGGAAGGGAGATCCCCACTCAGACCAAGGCCAGCCACTGAAGCAGTCCCAGAAGGGAACCCAAAGTGAACAGCCCAGGAAGGAATACTAACAAAAACCCCTGTCTGGGCACTGCCAGCCTCCCCAGGGCAGGGCCATGGCCCTGAGGCTGCCAGAGCTCCAGGAGCATTTGGACAATGCTCTCAGGCACAGGGTGGGATTAATGGTGTGTCTGTGCAGGGCCAGGGGCTGGACTGGATGATCCTTGTCAGTCCCTTTCAGCCCAGAATATTCTGTGCTTCTATGATTTACTATCACACAAAGCAAGTACAGCTGTGTGTTGCTGCCCATAAACAGATATTTGGTTTCTGAGATCAGCTAACAGCTAAACACACACATGACTCTCTTCCAACCTAATTTCTATGGGCCCCACGTCCACACCACAGCAAGAACTCTCTCTTGCCAGAGCTGTGAGCTGTATAAACACCTTAGGTTAAAAAGATGTGGAAGGTTATTTCCCACGCCCAAGCAGTCCCCCCTGGCTTGAACTGCAGCTCACAGCAACCCAACCAGGTACAAAAAGTGGCACTGCTCTGCAGCACTTCCCATCCTGCTGACAAACACAGGCCTTCCTTCCCAGCAGGATCTAACCTGGCATTTCAGATGAGCAGTTTGGAAACAAGAGCAAAGCCTGCCAGAGCCTGCTGTGAGCACTTACAAATCCAATGAGATAAGGACTGCCAGCATCTCCCAGGAGGTGTGAAGTGAAACTCTGCAAGGCCACTGCGGTTGCACGGCGAGTTGGAATGACCACGTACTGCAAAGAAGGGGAAAGAAACAAAAGTAGGTGAAGAAGCTGAAATAAGAACTTGCCCATCTGCCTTGTACTGCTCAGTTCATGCCCAGGGCAGCACAAAACAAACCAGATACCCCAGACAGAGGCACTGGCCAGCCCATGGCTGGTTCAGGCAGCTGGGAGCCCCAGGTACCCTTCCTGCACTGGAGTCTCCTGCTGGCAGGGGCTGAGGGAAGGAAGCTCTGCCCTCTGCTCCACTCTCAGCTTTGCCCACTTTGCTGTTGCTCCTCAGTCTTAATTTTGCTCTGCTGGTGGGGAGAATGAAGTTTGAAGTTGCTCAACACCATCAGCCTTCCAATCAAGGACTGTGCTGTAACCTGGGATATTTGGTTTTTTCCGTAACAAAAGTTATTTTGTTTCCTCAGCTATCAGCAATCCACATCAGTATGAAAGGTCATGGTCACACATCCTCCCTTCCCACTCAATCTCTAGCCACTTTACATTTTTCTTAAAAAATTGTGATTCCATTTGTGAAAAGTGACAAAGGCATATTAGGAAAATTTTCCATGGCCAAGATATTGTATTTTGGTCTTCACTCCTCTAATAGGACATGACACTCTTAGCCAGGCCATGCAGAATCAGTCAGATTGCAAAGGAGCAGTGGAAAACACAAATTACTTCCCCATGAAGGGACTAGAGCTCACATATAACAGAGCCCTAACCACAGAAGGGGATGAAAAAATTAAAAAATAAAAAAACCCAGCAATCCCCTGTCCTGTGGAATGACCTTAATTTTATAATACACCTTTTAGAGGCAGAAGAAAGTAATTGTCTCTTGCATAAATTGTTAAAGACTCTGGCTAAGAACATATGCATCAAGTCCACATATCCCAGTTTATGAATTGATTCTGTCTTGATTTAAAGGCTGGAAGTAATGAAGAATTCAATAGGTCCCTAAATCCAAGTGAGCATTGTTTCTGCCTGTAAGCACTGATCTCACTGTGCCTTTTGCTGTGCCTCTGACAGGAATGACTCTTGTTCAGCCCTTTGGAGACCATCATCCCTTTTATTTATCCACTTTCTCTCTGATGGGCTGCCTTCAGGCTTTCTTTAGACGTCCTGCCTTGCCATGATCCTGCAATCCTTTCCCAAAGTGATTTATTAATTAAATGTCACATTTCAGGAGTGGCCCATCCCCAGCCAGAGATACACAGATCCTTTACCTGGACTGACTGGCAGAGAGAACTCACTCAGGGCACAGGACTAACGTACAGAGCAGTGCTTGAACTATTCCTCACAGGGAAGGGGTGTTGCCCTGTCTGCAGTGGAAAGAATTACCATAAAACCAGAAACAAAATAAAGAGCATTGAGAAAATCCACACTAAAAAAGAACTGATACCTATTTAAAAATTATCATCTCGTTCCAAGCACAGACAATTCCCAATCATGGAAATTGGAAAATATGAAAATATGGAAAATTAGCTTAAATGCATTTCCATATGAAAATATGGAAAATTAGCTTAAATGCTTTTCCTTAGGGTTTGCCATGTGTGTTTACATGACCTGCCAGTTCTTTCATCCCTGTTTGACAAAGCTGCAAATGCGCACTGCTAATGCACTTTCATGCCATGTATTAAGCAGGCACCCTGTTCAACTTCTTTGTGCAACAGAAGAGCAAGATATGTTCAGATCCAGAGCAGCTGCCCAGCTGTGGATGTCAGGCCCTGCCCTCCTTTTGCATCCAGGAACTCAGAACATGGCTTGAAGAGAGAAATCCCAAGAGGAAAATCAGCTCTAAACTTCATTAGAGACACAGAAATGTGCTGAAGGTCAGCATGTGAACAGTAGGAGAGCCCCACAATTCATTCCCACTCCCCAAAGAGACAGATAATGGAAGCAACCTGCATAGACCAGACAGAAGAAAAAAAACAATTAAGAGTGAGTTATTTTTGTTCTTCCCACCTGGCCCAGTTCACACGGGGCCAGTGGAGAAACATTCTAAAAGAGCTCTTTGGGAAAGGGCATCTGAGTAGATAAAGTGAAATTCTACCTAATTCAAGAACTCTGCATAAATGTGAAACACAAAATTTAGAATAGAAATATTTTTTCTTTCTGTAAAGTTTATGTTAACCAGTCTGGAAAAAATAATCTGCCTGGTTCTGTATTCTCTCCATTTCTGTAGCAAAAGGACAAAAGAGATGGCACATTTACAAAAAATGTACCACTTTCAGGGTGTAGCAGTGAATTGATGCTAATTAGAGGAAGAAAACTTAATGATACCTGTATCATATGTGTGCATGCATATATAAATATTTATACACATTAATACACACATATATTAGACATAATTTTGCATATGTAGCTATATTATGCAAACACAGTTTTGCAAGTAAACCCAACATGTAGCAAGCAAACAAATATGACCTCCTTGAAAAACATATTGGAAAGAAAAAAAAGCTTAAACCAGCACCTCCAAAAACAACAAAAAATACTCCACCCTATCCCTGCTTTAAAAAGCATTTTGTTCTGATGGACAGGAAGCAGTTGGTAGCAAACATCTACTGTTCTTGGAAGACAGAAGTAAATTATAACTCTAAATGGGCATTTCAATACTAAAATAGACCTAAATTCAAACCATGCACAGCCTGGTTTGGACATCCCACAGAAACTGGAGGTGGGAGAGGCACAGCAGCCAAGGAGGAAGCCTGTGGGATTGTTCTGGCTCATCCCTGATTCCAGGTTCAGAGGATGGGCAGGGTGGCTGACCAAGCAGCTCTGCAAACCTCTGCTTTTAAAATAGAGGTTCAGAAAGGCCAGGGATTACTGCTGCCATCTCCTTCCTGTGATGAAACCAACAGGAGCTGGTCTGAAAAAAGTTAATGGGGAAAGCCAAGGAGAGATCACCCCTCTCCCAGGAAAAGGCCATGTGCCAAAGAGGTAAATTCTGTTGTTTATGTCTAAGCTTGAATAGAAACTCTACTCTCTGAAGCACTCTGCTGCCCTTTCTGGGTCATTTTGGCCTCTTTCAGCACCAAAGACAAAGAAAACATGCACTAACACTTCCAGCCACTGACAGAACCTGGAAACAGCCCAGTTGTCCCTGCTGCTCAGAAAAGGGAAAGGCTGGCATCCAGAGAGACCCTCCATAAAAGCCAGGCAGATACTGTAAAGAAAAACCAACCAACCAAACAACCCCCCCCAACAAAAACAAACAAACAAACAAAAAACCAAACCAAAAAACCACAAAAAACTCCTAAATGAAGTGAAATGAGGCTGCTGTGGTTTCCAGTTCCCAGCACCACGGAGCAGAACACCTCCACCTGCAGCCCTTGGATGGTTTGGGGTGGGCTGTGTTCCCTCATTCTCAGGCAATCCTCACCCTGCCTTCAAATCTAACCTGCAACACACTCGGAGTATTGTGTGGAGACACTCGCAGAAGCAACAACAAGAACCTTTGGAAATGCAATTTATCTTTGGCTATAAAAATAGGGCAGCATTTTGTACTAAATAAATAACTGGGCTTTATTTTAAGGGAAGTTAATCAGAATAAAAGCAACATTACTACATGCCTATGGCACAGCTGAGCACCAGTCTGTGCCTGTTTCAAGCCTAAAGGAAGACTTTGACTTTACAACAAAGCATCCAAGCAGCTTCTCCATGGCAGGTCATGACCATTTAGAAAGAACTAATGTTTTAAAAGAAAACAGAAATATGCAGAGCAGTTTTTCTGCATGAATGTCAGGACTATGAATAAACTGGAGGATGGCTTTTCTCAGCAAAGTCCTAAAGAGACTGTGATTGAAATAGAGGCACTTTAAATTTCTTCGTGGCTCTTAGACAAAAATTCCAAGCCCCTGTCCATCATCTCTGTTTTTGAGATGTGGTTTGGAGGAAACCCCCACTATTATAACCAGACTCCCACAAAGCCCCACACACTGCACATGTCTCAGAGTGTTTCACACTTGCCTGCTGCACTGAAGCTCATTCATTATTGCTGTTACGAGGCAGTTTTAATGCTACTTTGGGGTTCTGGTAATTTTAAGGCCAATTTGCAAAGATGGCTGATGAAATCTGTTTCATAATTAGTAAGCTCCATACAAAACATCCCTCCTTTCCCCAAGCACCATCTGAGCATGTGCCTGGGAGGAGATATGGAGAGTTGTGCTCAGGGGAATAAGACCTGCTTTGTACAAATTTGCATTCGGAACAAATATCAGCCTTTCAGAATCTCACAGCACTGCAGCACTGACAGTTCATCAGAGCCAGCACTTGGCACCTTGGACTGCACAAAAGACAGAAGCAGTGGATGCAATGCAAGCACTGAGCTAGGAAGAGCCAACAGTGAAACTGGAAGGTAATAAGCAAACATCCATGTTTTGCCATGGAAATTAAATTTGCAAAACCTCTGGAGGTCCTTAACAACTTGCCCAATAGGATTCTTAAGCAGTCATGGGATCTGTAAATCTTGGGAAAGTTCTTAGAAATCATCTGGGATGCAGTTTCCAAAAAGCCTCACTCCTGGCATAATGCAATCAGCAAGGACAGTGTTCAGTCAGTATTGAAAGCTTTTATCCATGAAAACAGAGTAATATTTATGTATAGGATGAAAGTGTTGTTAAGCTTATGCTAATAATGCTTTTAAACTCTTTCTCAGCCTCAGGCAAGAACAGACACACTTCTGATTACACCAAATAAATAGTAATCAGTAAAATTAATTTGCCAAACATACAAAGTGCATCTGCTAAAGCATTTCCACATCTTTCTCTGGCAAGGACTTCCCACCAAGCAGTCTGTCAAACATGGCTGTAGCCTTGCCTCTCACCTATTGACAGTCTGAGCCCCCTCTCATCCCCTGTGTGATCCATCTGCACTTCAGCCTGGCTGCTTCCAGCCCTGTCCCCATCTAAGTGACGTTTATATTTATTTCTTTACAACTTTCACATGTCCACTGATGCTGTTAATGCATCAAGCTGGGCATTATATACAACCCTTAGTCCATTTTCCTAAACAGACCAGAGAACAGTGAACTGAAAAGCTGGCAGCAATTACCAAAATCCATTTTTCAACATGACTTTAGTTTCTTTGCTGTGTTTTGGAAAATTGAGCTATTATTTCCAATCATTTGTTACAGAACTCTTTTGCACTAAAGCAACATAAATAACTGCAAATGCATCCCTACTAAATGCAACTGACTATAGGATGCTGGTAAGACAGATGGCAAATCCTATAAAACTTGTTAAAAAGCTACAGGATATTGAAGTCACATTGAAATCAACACAAAAACCCTATGTAATTAAATGGGACAACGATGGCAGCCCTAATACCCTTGATATAACAGAGCAGTTGGTTAAAAATAACTTTTAGGGCTACCTTGAGACAACACAGGTCAGATTTTCTGGAGGACCTCGAGCATGTCTGACAGGATCCTCCCTCCTGGCAGCTGGGACCACCTCAGCTGAGCCCTCACCTGTGCCAGCCAGTGTTAAGAAGGGTGAAAAACAGCTGTTATTTAAACCTCTACAGTAATTCTGAGTGGAGAGAACTGGGATTGCTCCTGGGAACACCACAGCCAGAGGCGGGACGTGATAGCAAGCTCTGGCAGGAGGCAGGAATGAGCAGCTATACATATTGTACTGTAATTTCTTCCTCAGCACAGCTGTCTCCAGGCTGCACATCTGTGCAAGTGTTGAGACCCCACATGGCCACAGCAGCCTTGAACTCAGCACAAGCTGCAGAAGCCCATGGAAGTCCCAGGGAAGCCCCACAGAGCTCTGTCCCACCACTGCTGACCAGGAAGGAGGAACCTTGGGAATTAAAAGCCATCCAATGCTACCAGAGTTCACTGACAACCTTTGTTTCTCTGTGCTTTACCCACACTGAGAGGAGTGGATTTAACCACCCACCCCACCTCTCAAAGCATTCCCTGCACAAAGGAATGAAAGATGGAAAGTTCATCAGGCAATGCAATCATGGCAACTGCAGAGCTACTTCAAAATAATAAACACAACCTTGAACTTCAACATAAACACAGCTTAAGCAGAGGCTTGAAGTTCTTTGCTGAATCAATACATCAACACCATTATCTTTACATCTAAGAATACTGAGCCCGATTGTTTCCTCGCTGATGTTTGCACAACCAACAAATATAAGTCAAGGGAGTTTGCTATTGATGCCAGACTGATTATATTTTTAGTTCTGTCAACAAGCTGACAAAAGGCCTCGGGAAAGTCCTGTAATGGTTCTGTGCCTTAGTGCCTTTCTTTTCATACAATTAGCAACACCTCCTTCACAACAGGACTTCAACATATGTTATGGTTGATGGACTCTGATGGAAACCTCTACAAAACATGCAGAGCTCTTGAACACACGTCCAGACTATTTCATGTGAAAATGGGGCTGCTGAGGTCAGCTTGCTGATTTGAAAGACTTAAAAAGCTCTGTGGTGGAGAAAGAATAGAAAATGAAGAACACAAGCTGAAAAGTCCCTGACAGTTTCCTCTTGGACAAGGTGAACATGGTCCAAAAATTCTTTATACTTTCTTTTCCTCTCTGCTCTCCCAGAGGTGGGTTTCCATTGTGTATGTGTTGAATGGTAGGTAGATGGGCTGCCTTTGTGGTCAGAGGAGGGAGGTAGGGAGGGAAGGATTTCCTATTGCAGAACAAAGCTGAGTTATTGATAACAAAGCCCACAAATGTGCTGACTTTTAGGAAATGCTGCCTTAATTCTGTGCTTGTGGAGTTTTGCACAAAAACTTAAAATTTTGGGAAGTTATTTGAATTCAGAAATGTCCTTTCTGGACATCTCTTCCTGGTGCTCAGAACAAAGAACAAAATGTATCTTTTTTCTCTCTTTTTCCCTATGTCTCTTTTCAGTAAGCAAAAATAATAATTAAAACTAGAATAGGGTAAAGTAGGGACTAGGATCTAGAAGAAATTGTGAACTTCAGGCTGTTCTTGCAAGTTGACAAACTGCTCTGAACACAGGAAGATGCTGTTCCAAAGTGCACTCACCATTAGTATGTCTGCTGTGATAGCCCAGTTTGAGAATAGAAGAGTTTCTCCGATAAAAATGCAAATCTGTTGTAACAAAAAACACACAAAAGGGAGAAGATTTATTCACTTGACATTCAGAGGAAAAATAACCTGTCACAAACTTTCTTTTGTTGCTTATTTTTCTCATACCTACACAGCACACTCCTTGTTGCTGTTGTGGTTTATCCTGATATTAAGAAACCGTAGACTTGTATCAGAGCTCTAGAGAGCTGAAATGTTGTTATTGTAAACTAAGTTTATGATCTACAGAGCAGTTGAATTAAAGGCTGACACATTTGATTTTAGAAGAACATGAAAAACCAGCATGAAGACACAGCCCCAGGCTTGCATACTTAGAATCATAGAATTGTTGAGGTTGGAAAAGCCCTTTAAGGATCATCAAGTCCAACTTGCACTATTCTTTTCCAAAAAGCCAGTTAGAAAAGGCAAGAATAGCCACAACTCCCCAAAGCACAGCTATTTCCATTCCTGGCAACCAAGTTATGTGTTCAGCTCTGTAGCAAACCAGCTGAGGCTCTCTGCAGAGAGCTGTGGAGGATCTCTTCCCTCCCTGACAGCATTGAACAGGTAATATGTGTCCAGAGGAGACTGGAATTAAGTATGGGCTTTGCAACATCAGTGCCTTGTGGTGAAATACAATCCTTGGCTCTGTGGAGACAGTCAGCAAGAGACATTATAAGCCACAGAACTGCACGAGTGGCAGCTGATGGGACATGGTGTGACCACTGCCACTGTCTTTCCCACACACCAGTTGAGGCTGCCTAAACCCCTCAGACCACCCTGTCAAGGCCAGGAATAATATGCTTTATTTAGCAAGTCTTATGCACAGGAGCTTCCTCTATTTGTTTCTAAAATTGTCTTTGCTTCCCAAACATTTTCCCTCCCTATCCCCTTTCTCTGTGGCTGGATCTGCTTCCTCTGTGATGCTGTCCAAGCCAGTCATTAGAGCCCAGCTGGTCAGTTAGGAAATCTCTATTTCCATTTTCCCATTGCCCACAGGTCTGGAAATGACACCTGCCAAGGTAAGAACACATCCAATAAACCAAGGTGCTGTCAGGAGTTGAAGCCATGTGTCCCATGGGTACTGGGTACATATTCAGACCTGCTCTGAAATCTGTCCTGCTACAGCTTTGCAGCTGCTGTTCTGTGGCTGGAGAGACTAAACTGAGCTTGGGAACAATGGAATCTTACTCCTCAATGCAGCATCAACCTGCCCTGTCTGCTCCCAGCACTGCAAACAGGCAACTGCTTGCCTTGAGCTGGTATCAACTGCACACATTTGAATTACTATAGGCAGCAAGAACTTGCCCCTTGTGCAGGAATTTAGCACAAGTCCTTTAAATAAATCACTGAAATGCTACAAACTTCAGAGCACACCAGTTCTGAGCTGATGAATGTGTATTTCAACCAATCCATGAAATGTGAGATTAATAGGTGGGTACTGGCAAAAGGAAAAGAGGAACAAGAGGAAGATCAAAAGTAGGATAGAAGATACATTAAAAAATGTCTGTCCTTCATCTGCTGATGGGGGCTTATAAAAATGAGTTCACCCACTGCAAAGGGCATGTGAGGATATTTCTGCAGAAGAGAGACTCTAGAGAAGCTTACAGCAAATAGGGCAGCCCCAGAGCAGATAATAGCTCCTGAATTGCTCACAGTTTTGATTCCTCACACACTTTTTGAAGCCTCATTTTACACTGAGACTTCACCTCTACTTATACAACTGTTTCTGACTCCACCTGTACTGTGTAACATCTCACCAGTCCATTTGGTGTCTGATTGCTCATCTGTGCTTTTCTGTTTAAGTGATCAGTTAGCCAATTCTGACTCCCAAAAATGAGAAATAAAGTAGATTTCAGAATGGACACACCAGCAGCTCTCGTTGTAAGAGAATGCACTTGCTAAGTTCTAAGCAGGTTACAAATGCCTCCCATGACTGTTTGCAAAGGGCGTAGCTGTCAGTATCTTCATTATTTATATTTCTCTCTGAAATGGTGGGTAACACACCCTCATGTACTCCTGAATTTGGAGCAATTCTAACTTCAACTCAGTTCTGGGCAATATTGATGGCACAAGTAGGCAGGTCACCCACAATGTGACAGCAGAAAGTCCCTGGGGTTGAGACTAAGATGCTGTAAAAGCTCTCTGGCAAGGTTTTATCCTGGGATATGCTGTTTCTGCAAGATCATAAAATGTCTTTGAGGAATTGAAATAGATGTTGAAATGAGGAATTTGGAATAGAGTCAAAGGAAGGCAAAGCAGAGCACCTCTCTCCAGTCACTTGGAGATTTAAACAAGTTTAAAATCTGCAGTTGAAATGTCTGAGCAGTGTGAGATGATGATGCCACACATATAATGGGTTTCCAGAGACGGGTTTGAAAACCAAGTTTCAAAGAGTTTGTATTTCAGAAAAAAGTGGGACTTACAGATATGTAAATTGGTGCTTTAAGGAGCTGGATTACAAGACACAAATCCACATGCTGCAAGGAAAACTGAGTAAGAGGTGATCGGACAGTACAGCCAAGCAAGAGAGTAAAAGAGAGAAATACAGGTGTCTGGGCAGCTAAATTATACAGAATTGTTGTCTGAGTCCACCTTGCCAGCCACTTTGCCACTGCCAATAATTTACTGGATCAATATGAAAAGATTGGCTGGAAAAAAGTCACCTGTCTACCTGCCTCAGATGGGAGTGGCTGCTACAGAATGGGAACAGCAACTGCCCCCAGGGAGCAAAGTCAATTGCAAGAAAGGACTGAGCAGGACAGAAATAGTACATGTGCTCAGGGGAGGGAGAGAGCAGACAGCACACAGCATGTAAGGGGCAGGGTGATCGTGTAATGGAAATTCAGGTCTTTTCCAAAAAGATAAAACCTATAAAACCAAGAAATTAAAAAGCAAGGGCTCTGCAGGTTCTTGCTGGAGTGCTGAACACTTCATTTAAGCTGATGCCTGTATCAGTCAGCAATAAAGCTCCTGCCTGTTAACTAAAGCAGGGAGGGAGTTGGAGATCTGGTGGCCACTGCAGCTCTCTTTCACAGTGAGAGAGAACATCATCTCATGGGAACCCACCTAATTGCTTGGAAGTGAGAATTTTAAGGCTCTGAGCCAAGGAGGGTTGCAAAAACATTCACTGTCAATTTTTGCATGGTGTGATCCATGACAGAAGCCTAAGGACAGTCGCAGTACAGAAGGTTGGCAAATACCACCGTGCTGGGGGACAGACATTGCCTTGCCTTCCACAGACACAGAACTCAAGGATGTGAGCCAGCACAAGCTGTCAAGGAAGATACCAGAGACAAGAAAATCAACCCATAAATTTTACTGTTTTGTTTCCAGAAGGAGATTTCATCCTGGATTTTGAGATTAGGAAGGTAACCCAGACCATCATCCTGTCCACCAACCACAGAACACTCTCCCCTTCATTATGGACCAATGAGACTTAAAACAAAGAACAAAGAGCAAACTGCTACGCCATGCAACCTGGCAATGCAGGTCTCCCATTCTCCTTGAAATACAAGGGAATGGAACTCTCTGGAAGTCTGAAGGATTGCAAGATCTCTTTGAATGGCATGGAAAAACATGAGTTTGTGTTAGAGACTTGCCTTGGAAAGTCAATTCAGTATGGCACTGCCACACAATACCTTGTGTAAAGAGACACTGGTAGCTCCAACCCAGACCTGTCCTCTCTTTTGGGGCATCAGGTTGCCAGCAGCAGAGAATTTAGGGATATGGAGAGGCAGTGCTTCTTGCTTCAGCCTCATAGCATCACAAACAGGATCATATTCCCTATACCCCCTCCATATGCAGCTGTAACTTCCTTTGCAAATCATTGACTCTTTATTAGATTTACTGCTCATCCATAATAAAATAAATTGTTTTGAGGATTGTTTAGATGATACCATCTATATTTATATACTTAAACAATGCAGACTAGTCACATGGCTATTAAAAATATAAAAAAAGATAAAAAACTAGATTAATAGCCACCTCCTGCTGCACAGTTTCTGAAAACAGTATTTCCAGCCTAGAAAGGGAGAAGTTTCTGTATAAAGAGACTGAACACCACAAACAAACTTGTCTGTTTGACATGTTCAAACCTAGTGTCTGTTCTCAGACACCAGGTCTGAGAAAGGAGAAAATAACAGCTCTGTCTGCACAAAGAGATGGAGGGAGCAGGTGAGGGGTGTGAAAGATCAATAAAAGGAGGGTTAGTGATTCACCAACACCCTCTCACAGGTTGTCTGAAGTGATAATTTTTCTGCCAGTTCAAATGTTAGTTCATGGTCACAAACCAGAGACCTAAATCTCAAATAGCCAGAGGAGATATTCTTGGCTCTGTCTTAATGATTTTGAACTTCCACTCTTTCTGGTTGTGCTTCCCCATAACTGTGGCAGCTGCTGAAAGACTCAGCAAATAACCATGGCCAAGCCAGTGCTCGAAACACAGAAAAATGAGGAACAGCAGTTGGCTGGTTCCTTGGACAGGAATTCTTCTTGCTGGATGAGCAGGTGCTGCTATGTGGAAGTGAAGGGTGGAGGGTGGGCTTTCAGAAAGGATCCCACTACTCCAAACATCTCATACTTTCCTTTCATAAACTTCTCCCAGGTCCCAGGCCTCTCTCATTCTGACATTAAAAGTGAACCAGAGTTCAGTGCTTGGATTTTTACTCCCCACTCAAAGCAAGATTCTAGCCTGAGTTGAGCTCTCCTTTTTTCCCTTCAGTCTAACTAAAAGATGGTTGGTTTAGATGAGATGTAAGGAAGGAATTTTTTAAAAGGTGATAAAGCATTGGCACAGGGTGGCCAGGAGGTGGTGGATGCTTCATTCCTGGAAATATTCAAGGCTGGGATGGAGGAGGCTCTCAGCAGCAAGGTCTAGTGGAAGTGGGGGCTGGATGACCTTCAAAAGTCCCTTCCAACCCAAACCATTCTATTTATCTGAATCTATCTGGTATCTTTCAATTTTATTATAAGCACTCAGGGAGGGGCCATATTTTAATCTGTATTTGTGCAGCATCAAGTACTGTAGGTTCCTGGGCTATGGTAATACAGATAACAAATTGAAATGACTGGCTTATTAATATTGGCCTGGTGCAATCCACCTAGTTATGGAAATGAATGGTACTGAAAGGGAGCCAAAAGCTTGCCCACAGACAAATTACACTGTAATTGTCATCTGGTACCACTGCAGCTACATTACCCTCACTGCAAGGGAAGTGCTCAATTTTCCTGTACCAAAACATTAGGCAAGAGCAATAAAGGTGTGGATTGAGGTGCAGATACAGCCCAAAGGCTGTGGGTTTCCATGGAGCTCTGAATTCTGATGGCAGCAGGGATAAGCAGCTGAGATTTCAGGCACACTTAGATAGTGCCAGAATGCCAAGAGGCAAAAAGAAGGACATTAAGAAGGGCACAGGCAAGAAAACATCCCAGGCTTTCTGCAGGGCACAATGCACATGGTCTTTAAGGAGTTTGGCAGGGGCTGGCATATGGAAAGGATTATACTTACATAGGCTCCCACAATGCTGCTCTTGGCTGCCACGAAGATCAGACAGATGAAGATGGCTGATCCCAGCATTCCAACAGCACAGACAAGAGGATCAGCTCGCTGCGTCTTGGACCGGCACCATTTGGTGGCTCCTGCCCCTGTGATTACACCCAGGAAGCCAGTGAAGCACGTGATTGCTCCGAAGATCAAGCTACCCCAAAAAATAGGAAAGAAAAAAAGAAAATTAGCCCAAAATGGGCATAGTCTCTGGGTATTATTATGTTATTAGGTAATATTATTTTATTATGTATTAGATAATATCATTTTATAAGGTATTATTATTTTATTATTAATAATATAATTATTTGGGTAAACTGACTAATGGAAATTTGTACAATGGTTTTTCAAATTTTAAATAAAACAAATGCTCATGATTTTAGCCATCTTCCCCTGCAATTACAAAAAACACAGCTCATGAAATTTATCATTGGACACGGGCTTTGATCCATGGGCAAAGGGGTGCAAAGGGCTCACATTGCTTCCTTGGGTCGAACTGGGATTCCTAGGAAGTGTCCTGAACAGATAATTATGTATACACAAAACTATTTAATAACCTTTACATTGATCATGTGAGGGGAAATCATGGATAGGCACCAGGAAGCTTCAGGACAAGGAAACCTAACAAGACTCTTAAATACCATTGATTTCCAACATACTTTGACTTTATAACTCCTTTCAGGCCACTTCGAAGAAGCTTTTTGCTGTTAAATTACACATTTGAAATGTGTTAATTTTAATTTAAAGAGCCAGGAGGATTCTCCATATGATATGTGCAGGAGGACTTGGATTACAGGGTCTTGGGCAATCACATTAGAGTAGCTTGAGGACAGTTCAAAATTGAGGTGTCATCAAGGAGGGGGAACCTTCTCTTTGTAAACAGCAGACAGGCAGTCAGGCTGGAGCTGTGTGTTTTGCTCACTGCATTTTTGTGGAATAGCCTGAGCTTGCCTGCTGCACACTCTGGTTGATGGACTCCACATCACTAACTACTTTAATTGAGATGGGATTATGTCTGTTATGGCAAGAAGGTTTCCTGAGTATTATTTTCCCTCATGAGCTAAAAAGCAAAAGATCTGACAAAATGCTTTTAAAATATCTTTTATTTACCTGGAGGAATGCTTTTATAGCATTTCCTTGTTTGTGTCACCATTGTAAATCACAAAATGAAGAATTACTTTTCACAGCTTATGTGTTGCAAGTGATAGATAATGAGGACTGAAAACCCAAATCATTGTATAACATCAAACACTCCAGCCCAAAGCGTCCCAGATCTCCGGGACATTCTTCAGCAAAACTCAGCACATATACAGTTTACAGAGCAATAAAACAGGGAAGTCCTGCCTCACACAGAAACAAAAGCCTACAGGATTAGTCCCTGCAGCTTTAGAGAAACCATTCCAGCCTCTGAATTGCAGGCACCACTGGGGCTTCCTAACCTGCCAGCTTATTCTGCTGCTATCACTGATGGGTCTTAAGGAACCAAATTCTCAGCTCTCCAAACATCCTCCTTAGAGGATTTCACTTTTCTACTCTGCACTGCAGCCTGGGAACTAAGACAGAGCTGAGGTCATTGCTTCTCCCTTGGTTTGACTTCATGCAATGAAGAAGAGAAATAAAGCCTAGTTTACAATCCCAGCATTTCCTACCATTGTTACAAGGATCTAGAGGAAATTACAGACATTCTAGTACCTTGTCTCTGTGGGACTTGCCTGTTTCCTCTGGTAAATAAGCCCCCACCCCCTCTCCCCTGTGTAAAGCAGCTGACTCTGACTCTCACCTATCTTTGGTGCCACAGGGCTGGGAGCTGCAGGTCTCTGCTGTCTTCTGCACGACCTGTGCTCTGTGAAGATACAGAGGGATCCACATACCAAGTGCCCCCGTGGCAAAGGAGACAGCTGAGGTGGCCAAGGATGAGAACACATAGCTGCGGCTGTGGGGACAAATCCAAGAGAAGGTTTAGTGGGGAAAGTGAAAAAGCAGGACCCCCATGCAGGAGCCAGTGCTTCAGTGACAAAGCCCAGTGCTCCCCCACACTTGCCACCTCCCTTTGCCAAGGGGCAGATATAAAGGAATGGAGAATAAGAAGCATGGAAGGTTCACATGTGATGCTCCACTGATAATAATATGCTGAACTCATCAGAGATGCTTCACAGGTCTGTGTCAAGGGTCTGGTTGAGAAGACAGTTAGTACTTGGTCACTAAGACATGATATGTGAGTTACAGGGCTTTCACCCTAATGTCACCTGTTTACTTGGAGGAGTAGTTTCACTTCTCCCTCCCCATCCATGCCACCATATGGTTACTACTTACATAAACTACCAAAAGCAGTAACATAGAACTAATGATAAATTAGCTCCCATTGCTTTTCCTAGTCCCTTGGCACTGGATGACAATACCAGGGAGGTATTCTAGCCAGTTGTTCCATCACAAGCTTCCCATCAGAATTACAAGGTAACCCTGAATTCACAAGTGAAAGTATTTGCACATTCACAGGCCAACTTTCTGGAAGGAAGTGCAGCTGCTGAAGCACTCATAAGCATGTGAACCTTTATGCACACATACAAGTGCCCAAGCACATTCAGTTCTCATGGATTCAGTCACACATGGTTGTTCACATATAATTAAACTTGCCATAGTGCAAGCTGCCGTGTGTTTTTTTATATTAAACTGCTAAAACTCTCTTTTCCCCCTCAGAAGAATAGCTCTTTTAAAGAAGAAAAAGGATCTAAGTGTCTGAACAACAGTGGCACAACAATTAATACAGGAACGCAGCAATTTCTACACTTCAAAAGCCCTGATTTGTGTGAAGTATGAGCCAAACAAAGCAGGCTTTTTCTTAGATGTCAATCTTGGAAAGGCTGGAGCAAAACTTGAAATTCATCATTGTCACAGCAGTCAATAACTCATGTAACTGTGATTTTCTTCCCTAGATCCACAGACTAAACTTCCTGCAACTCCCTGCATGTCACCACTTTCCAGTGTCACCACACTAAATCCAGACCACTGGAAGTTCCAATTAAGCATTAAAGGCAAAACATGATTTTTACTCATGCTCTTACTTTCTAATCAATGCTTTCATGTCTCTCAGCCATGAAGTCCGAGCCTTCAGCTGCCCCCCAAGTTGCTCAGCATTTCCTCTTTTAGCAGCAGGCACAAATATCAAGATGAGTGTCCCTGTTATCATTCCTAGGAGTGGAGATACCTGTAAGAAAGGAGCAGGGAATTAGCACAGGAGTCAGGAGGGTTTGCTTTGACTGGGCAGGAAGAAGCAGAATACATCCTCCTGGTTTCAGTGACTGCTCCTCACAGCCAGACAGAACCTGTAAGCATCGAGGCATCTGCTCCTTTCCTTCCTCCATGACATTCCCTGGACTCTCTTATCTCACTCTGGAAACATGCAGCTTTGAAAATACTCTGAGTAAGGCAGTCCATTGTGTTAAAAAAGTACCAAGATTCATCTAAAAATGATTCTTGAGTGATGTTTAACTCTTTGGAAACCTACTCCCAGTTGGGCTGAGAGACCAGCTGGTTTCTGGGTGAGTGCAGAAGCCATTTAAAGGCAATTAGACCAGCTGAAAGATTTCTGGATGTAGGGAATGTGCTGGCTTTGAAAACCCTTGCTTGATATACATCCCTCTTCCAGCTAACCCACAATGGCTTCCTGTTTTCAGGCATCTTCCTCAGGTTGCCTCAGCACAACAGACCAAGAAACATTGAAAATTCAGGCTGGAAGACAGGGAAACAACAGATTCAAGGGTTTGGTTTCCCAATAGCCAATCCTTTCTCCCAAGCACTAGGCAAAAATACAAAGATCCCACAGCATTTTGCAAGCTATAAAAAATATTCTTGTTTTGACAATGAAATTCCATTATTGCCAGAATGGAAAATAGCTCCATTAGGAATACAGGAACATGGATTCCACCGAACTATCATCTCACCTAGACATGCTATTTAAAAAAATAAATTCCTGTCCAAAAAAAAAAAAAAAAAAAAAAGGCAAAAAAGCTTTCATTATTATCCTGAGAATGGCCTTTACACATGGAGCAGTGTTTCATGTCCAAAGATGACAAACTCACAAACCTTCTAGGGAAGCTAGGGAAGGAAAGACAAAAGTATTTCAGAATTTAAAAGTGAGGAAAATCTCTCATCCAGGAATACACTGAAGCCTGATACAGTATCCTTATGATACCTGAACAGAAGACACAGCACTGGTAAAAAATATTGGAAATGCTGTTTTTTTACAGCAAGTCTCTTTGGTTATTATCCAAAAGCTTATGTACCCACCAGGACAATATCCATGGCCACTCAGTAATGCTGCAGTGAAACATTCACTTTATTGTTAGATTCAGACACAAAGCTGCCACTTGTCCACGTGCCCTTCTGTCTTTTTCAGCCCACTGAAGTGTGGATTATTCCTGACCTCTTCTGTATTTGGAGCCCACAGGAGACCACAGAGGGAAGCGTCATCTTGGGGAATCATTCCCATCTTGCAAGAGCACAATAATTGCCACAGGGATGGAAGCTGCTTTACACTGATGTCTGGGTGCTTTCTATATGGGCTGTGTGACTACAAAGACTGAGCAACGGTGTCCAAAGCAAACACCACAGATGTGTGTGCAGCTCATCAGATTCCCCGAATTTTGTACAGCCAGGGAATCCTGCACCAGTGTGTCATTTCTAATGGAAATCACAACCTGTAAGGGGAACAGTCTTGCAGATAGCCTGGATTTCTCAGGATAACTATGAAGACACCACCTGAAAAATCCTAGTGATTATCTGTTTTCACTGATTAACCATTTGGGTTTTACAGACAAATTTGGGTTTTCCAAGAATGCTCCAGTTAAAGCCAGCTGACAAGAGGACAGGCTTTGGGGTTTTCACTCCTTGGTTCGCCTCTGCTCAAAAGTTCATGTTACTCTTAAATATTTCTGCTAATGAGGCAGCATCTTCCTGGTGGGAATCTTTAGGCTACTCCACTTTCCACTCCAGGTGCACAGCTGGAAACTGCCCTCCACTCTCCCAGATGAACCGTTCATGGTGATGTTCCTGGCTCTGCATACCCTGGGCATGGCCTGTGTCACAGAGGGCATATTTGCTTCAGATGGGAATCCTTGCATTGCATCACCAACTGCTATAAACAGTGCTGGCCTGAGCTTCATGAGATTCATGGTCCCCATGAAGTGCCAGAGCCAGAGAATGCACCTCACATGCCACCCACAGCACCAAAGGTCAGAAACCAGTTCTGCTGGGCCCCTTCCTCTCAGCTCTTTCAAGACGTCTTTGTGTGCAGAAGCTGTTTGTGAGTATGTGATTGGAGTGGATTATCTTTTCAGCCCATTTATCAGGGTCCCAAGAGGTTAAAATAGAAGGAAACGGACTGTCTCAGGGCAGAAAAACAAGCGGAAACTGGAACAAAGTGTTTTTTCCTCAAAGCCGGAAGCCATTCTCAGAGTTTCTTGACAGCAGGAGACTGAAAGACTGTGGAGTTGATTTAAGGCCAATGCCTCGTCTTCCTGTCCACATCAAGAAGTCATGATTGATTGATTGATAACAAAGTGATTGGCAAATTCTTGCTCCCAAGCAGGGAAAACACCAAGTCCCACAAACCAAGCCCACACATCTTTGCTTAGAGGGTGCATCTGCCATGCACTTAACATCCACAGATGTAATTTCCAATCCTTCACCTTTCAGATATAATAATAGGTTGAGCCATTGTGTGATGGAACTCTTCCTAACACTAATCAACCAACCCACTCTAATTAAGATGTGTCATTAAGAGGGACTTACCCGCAGTGCCCAGTGCCAGTCTCCAGCAACCTGCTTCACGCTGGACCCGGTGATGTATCCCAAGCCACTGCAAGAAAGGCCAAGATGAGAGTTGGTCAGAGCTTTTAGTGTGCCACAGTCACAGCTGTTCTTAGACAAAGGCAAAGAGAGGTACAACCAACTGTGTGTCCTCAGCTGTCTTGTCCTACAGGAAGCAATACTGGGGATTGAAGCAGATGGTGGCTAGTATGTGACTCTACCCAGCATTGCTGATCTAAAAATGTCCAAATGTGATGGAAATTTGGAAGTTTATAGCTGATCTTTCAATCTACAGTGGATGCAAAAAAAGACTTAAAAAGAATTCATTTCCCAATTTCACTTCTACATCAGGCCTTTCTCTGTGCTAATATGAATATGAAACAATTTTATGTTCAAGCTTTCAGTTAAAAAGTACCCTTCAAGGACAAGCGATATTCCATCATTAGATTTTTTTTTTTTCCCTTAATTAGTATTTGGTTCTAATTAAGCAGGAAGAGACTATTTTCTATTAGCTTGGAAGAAAAACCAAGAAGAACATGCAAGAAGTTTAATAGGAGACCTTCAGCCACATATAAGACAAAAGGTGCATTACAAGAGACTAAAGGTGAACATAGCTACATTTCTCTCAACATGAACTGAAGGTAACAACCCTTTTTCAAAACTGCTGCATTTGTTGCTGAGACTGCCTTGGCTAAAAGTTGCCAGGATTGCAGTGGGGCAACTGTGAGCCCAACCCCGATCCCCCCTTTCTTTATTGAAGAGTCTGCTAAGCTTTGGAGGTTGTCAGCTATAACCTCCTTAAAACTGCATATTTTACCCAGACAGGCCCCAAAATCTAACCATGAATCATCACAGACAGGTTTGGGTTGTAAGGGACCTTAAAATCCATCCAGTTCTACCCCCTGCCATGGCAAGGACACCTCCCATTGTCCCAGGTTGCTCCAAGTCCCATGCAACTTGGCCTTGGACACTTCCAGGGATCCAGGGACAGCCGCAGCTGCTCTGGGAATCTGTGCCAGGGCTTCACCACCTTCACAAGGAAGAATTTCTTCCTAATATCTAATCAAAACTTCTTTTGGTTTACAGCCTTTGTCCTCTCCATGGCTTGGTAATCCACGCTGCTGCTGGATATTGAGATAATGAAGTCCCAGAATCAGGCTCAACAAGATGAATATTTGTAATTTCTTTTTAGTTCATTGAATTTTATATGTGAATACTTAGAATCCTTGGTCCTCTTGGCAAAATATTCTTTTCACCAGTTAAAGATCTGTTTCTCTCTTTTTCCTCAAGAGCAAAAGGATGACTGTGAGTTTTATCTCGCAGGTAAGTGCTCCAGCTTGTAAAATGCACCACCAGAAGTTTCTCTCTGAGTTTGGAACATGCTGTCCATGTATTCCCTGCTGGAAATGAACCCATATTGCCCTTTTTCCCAGGATGTTGTCCAGCTCTGAGAAATGGTCTGCAAAGCCACCTTGCTGACAATTTCACAATATAGGGTCAGCCATTATTTTAAATAATAAAAATGACAGATTCCCTCCCGACCCAACAATCAGATACTGTGTTGGGCTGATAAAGAAATTCCACTGAAAGAAAAAGTCAGCTAAAATATTTTTATTCCATTTCCACCCCATTGCTGTACAAAAGTAGGAAAAAAACTAAATAAACCAACAACAAACTTCCCATTTGTTCCCAAAAGTCACACATGAACCAGTAACACTAAAAAAGAATCTAATTCCTGCAACTAATTAGTCACTGCTCCCAATATTTTCCTGTCTACATTCCAGCCAAAATCAAGAACTATCATCATTAGCAATTTCAGGTCTATGTGAGTTTATTTAAGAGAAAAGCCCTAAGCAGATGGAAGAACCTTCGTGTCACTCACCTGCCCAGAGGAATTGCAAAGTAGAAAACAGACAGCATCAGGGTCCTCGTGTTTTTGGTGAACAGGTCTCCAATGATGGTTGGTGCAATAGTAGAATAACTCGCTTCACCGATGCCAACCAAACCCCGTGAGAGCACAAGCAGCCAGAAATACTAAGAAAAGAAATAGAAACATTAGCATGCCCCCCTTGGCTTTTTTACTTCAGGATGGACAGCAGTCAGGGAAATACAAATTCATGTGACTGGAAAATGATCCTCCAGTACGCATTTATTTTTAGAACTTCAGAGTTGTTTCATTTGTCTTTTGCCCAGAAGAAAGGGACGGTATTTTTTGTGAAGCTTTATAGGCATGAAAGAAAAGTAATAATAAAACATTTACTCATTGACATTCAAGAATATATCCTAAAAGAGGCAGAAGACCCCCAGTTTGTTCCCAGATAATTCTTGCTGAGTTGGGAAGGTCTGGGGAGGTGGGTGAGTGTAACTCTGCTCTGGGATCCAGGAACAGCAGCTCCTGCCAAGCACAACCATCCTCCCAGACAGGCTCTGACTGGGAAATCCTAAAGGCTCTTCAAAGTTGGGAAAGAGTGGAACCTGAAATCCCCCAAACTAAATGTCCTCCTTCACTAAAATCTATGGAATAACAGAATATTTCAAAGGTGCTAAGGACCCATCTCACTCCACTTGCTTTGAACAGCAGCAGACACCTCCCCAAAACTGTCAGAGGAGACCTGAGTGTTACTGGAAGCCCAGGAACATCCATGCACTCTGTAAGTAGGACCTGCAGGGAATGACTTGGCTGCCCAGGGAACAACCTGCCTCTCTGGGCAAAGGACAATCCCACAGGAGGAGGATATATTTTACATTCAGCACAACACAATCTAAAATGGTCTAAAAGGAATTGCTTATCTAATAGATTTTTTTTAATGGCCCATTTCAAGCAACACTTTCATGAATGGTGAGGACCTGATTTTCAACCAAAGCTTTTTCACTGCCCCTGCAGTTTTCTGGGTGCTGCTGAGTGCAGGCTAAGACACAATGCTTTGATGCCTGAATACCAGATACATGAGAAGGAGCAAACTCTCAGCCATCTAAGCAGCTTGAGCTACACCCAGAAATAATTGCAGGGACAGAAATGCAGCGGTCAATGCAGAAATTTGTAAGCACAGGGAAATCTATTTCTACAAATTTAACCTATACAAATCCTCAATTTGCTGCCATTATTCTGTAGATCATTTGTGAGAAGAACAGCAGGGATTTAAATTGAAGGAAGGCAGGTGTAAATTAGGTATTGGGAAGAAATTCTTCCCTGTGAGGGCAGTGAGGCCCTGGTATGGGGTGCCCAGAGCAGCTGTGGCTGCCCCATCCCTGGAAGTGCCCGAGGTCAGGTTGGAAAGGGCTTGGAGCACCCTGATAGTGTTGGGAGAGTGGAAGGTGTCCCTGCCATGGCAGGGGGTGGGATGAGCTTTAAGTTCCTTCCCAACCCAAACCACTCTGTGATTCTTTGCCTATGATACATCCTTAACCATGAAAGTGCTTTGGTAAAAATGAGCAATTACCAATTCTCCTTCTTCAGATAGGAAAAACTCAAGGGAAATGACTGAATTTGTGCCCTACAGCAAAGCCAAGCTAGAGTACAAGTCTCATTCACAAACATGGAAAATGCCATGCAGACTCCAAGCCACATGCCTCAGTCATAAATATATCCATAAGCAGACAAAAATCTATCACTGACATGTTTGCATTGTTTCCTTCACTGTAATCCCTGGTTGAAAATAATACTTTGAGGATTCCAATAGCCACAAAAACAAAATACTTTTGTGTACTCTTCACTTCCTCATATTTAGGTGTGAATTCTGGAGCAATAGCCATTTTCTGCAGGAATACAAGTTCCTTGTTTGCTGGCAGGGTGTGTGCAGAGCTGCTCGCATTCAAACAGCTCCCACAAGCTGCACATATGTAACTCACACACGTGGGTGTGAGCAGAAAGGGCAATACCGTGACTCAAGTGATTTAATTTATGTCCATTTCCCAACACTCAACCACTCCACTACAGAAATATGCTGGCAGTCATTGGTGCACAGGTAACCAATGTATTTTGAATGAGCAACAGTATTTATAACATGCTGAAAGGCTTAGTCACGCAAAATTAGAAAGCAGGGAACTGGAGGCTGGCTGTGGTTTCTGAGGAAGTTTAGATCTGGATGACAGAGAGGGTGACAGGCAAAGTAGTCACCTGCCTGGGATGAGCATGGACAGTGTTACCTACAACTGAAGAATGACAAGTTTGTAAATGCACTGGATGTTCCTCAAATTTGAAATACCTACAGAAAAATGACACATTTTTGTGCTCAGCAGCTGGTATCGCTGCCAGTGAATGCACTGGGTAGGAATTTCCTCCAAACAATGCTGGGAGAAGGTTCCTCTTACAATCATTGTGCAAAGCAGGAAAACTGTACCAAGTATTCCTTTTGTGGTAGAGTGATTCAGTTTCATCAATACCATGGAATCAGATGCCCAATACAATGAAATCATCTGCAACAAGTAACACATCCACTCTTCTCTCTCAGTTCCTCCTCAAATCCTTCTCCCTGGCTTATCCTATGCTGATGCACTCCAAATACCTGTTTAATATTTAAACTATGTTCTTTGAAGCAGTGGTATTCAAACTTAAGTAATGAGATTTTTACTTCATCTGGGAATAAAAGCAGTCTTTAAAAGCATAATCCACATAAAGACCTGAAGAGTATTGCCCTTCTGAGATCAGATATTCAAGACTATGGACCATCCAGCCATTGAGTTGTGACAACTAGATTAAACATTAAAAGATCTAAAACAATTTAGGGAATTATCTATAGTTCGTTCTATACTGTGCCTGGTTTTGGAGCTCTATATCTAGGATTAAAGAGCTAATTCCTCTTTTTACCAGTTCTTTGGGATCTTTGGCTAGCATACACCCTGTTGGAACTCATATGATACAATTAATTTGCTAAAATGAGCTGGGACCCCCATCTTCCATCTCTAATCAGTCACTCAAAGCATATGTTTTAATTGTCTCTGAAGAGGGACAGTTGGGGAGCTCCTCAAGGCAAAAAGTGGTCCCATCCATGACAGGCCTTGTCTTTTTGTTTTTCATATAAGAAGCAAAAAATACAAACAACAAAACCAGTCAAAAATTCTTATGCTGTTGCTCATTTGGACCACAGGCATTCCATGAACCACTCATGGTCTCAAAACCACTCCATATGCAATACAGACAACTGCTATTTTTTGTGTACATTTATACACAAACAGCCATGGAACATCCCTTTTCCTCTCCAAGTGTCTGTGGACATGACAACCTGCACGAACACATGGCAAAGTCAGATATTCCACATGCTGAGGAAAATTCTGCTCTCCTCCACAGCTGTAGCAGAACACCTCTGCCATTTCCTCTGCACTGGATTTTCCCTCCACTGCTTTTCCATTTATGTCCTACCTCAAGCTTCTCAGGAGTTTAATGAAAGAAAAAGGGCTGACACCAGCTCAATTCTGCCGGTGCTCAAAAGCAGAATAGGCAGCTCAGACTTTAACTGAATTTCACTGTTCCCCAAGCAGAAATTGATATATATTGAAGAAGCCAGTTTCTTTCTATATGACTTGGTAACTCTGCTGTAATTTGTTCATCTGTGCAAGCAGGTTTCTGGCAGGAAAATTGAAAATATCTGAGTCAGCTTTCAGGACCTGAACTAATTCCTTTCCCATAGGTTAAGCCCAGCAACCTCAACACTTATCAATAGTGTTTTGCTAAATTAAATGCTTGAAACTGAAGTTTTTTTGAAACAAGGCGCTATTAGGGCAAGCAATTAATTTGTCTTTATTTTGGAAAGCAGTCATATCAGAGACTCCATGAGAGCTGCCACCATCTCCTGGTTTGGAGACATGCAGAGGGTTTTTTGGAAGGAGTTCACAGCCTCAATGCCCCTCCTTGCCCGTGTGCCAGCCCAAGGTGCAGCTCTGTGGCTGTGCTGGGATGCCACAGCCATGAAGCAGCGCTGTGCCAAGGCACCAGCCTGGCTGTGCCACTGGGAAGGGACACCTGAGCCACACAGCCTGGCTGCCACGAGTTCCAGGAGCAAAAGGGCTTCCAGTCCCTTTCTCCAACCTGTGTGGTTGGTGAGACACGAGCCAGGGAAGATTCCAGTACACAATAAACCACCAACAAATGGAAAGAATGTTGTTTGCAGAGACCCAGAACTGCCACAGCCTTCCTGGGAATTTCCCTCGAAGAGATGACATCACCAGAAATGAATGCATGGAGAAAGCACTCCTACCTATGAATGGGAGGTACAAAGGGTCAATGGATGTGCTCTCTTCTTCCCATCTCCTAAATATATAGAAGGAAAAACACCCTCTAGCCATAAAGCAAAAGAAACCCAATTCCTCAAAACAGAAATGTTTCGGAAGGGATACAAATCCTTATGCCCTGGGGATGTGCCAATAAGGAACAGAGAATTCTTCCTACCAACTTTTACATTTCTAAAACCGTCAGCAAGCCATAGACAACAAGAGTGACAGATCATGGGGTCCAAGGGACTTGGTCTCATTACTGTCACCAGTGTTACCAAACACTAGAAGCTATGGATGTGACACTCCTTCCAGAATTTACATCTGGAGAAGAGCTTTCATGGTTGGAACATCAGGTCCAACAGATAAAATGTACGATGTGGTTTCTATTCACACCTTCATACCAACTTTACTCTCAATCTCCTGCACACATAAATGTTTGTTGGCCTAGGACACATGACTGGTCATGTTTGGTGAAAACTCCTAATTATACATTTATCCCAGTTGTATAGACCATTGAGGGAGTAATATGTGTTTTAAGAGGTCTAATTACAGCTTGAAGTTCTTTCTCCTTTTTTAATTAGTTAACAAAAGGAGTAAAGCCACTGGTTCTTTAAAAGATTATCTGCTAGTGGTAAACCTATAATCTGCCAAATATGTGTACAACTCTGAGCAATGAGATTTACTGTCTAAAGAATCATATGATCCTTAAGCTTTGTTTATTAAGTATTTGCATTTGAATGTGGAATACCTTGTAAGAGTCTCAAAAGAAGCTGAACACGTGCTGCTTTCAGATGAGGGACACATGGACTGAGGAGATCCCACCG